ACACACACACACACACACACACACACACATACACACTATATATATATATATATATATATATATATATATATATATATATAAACATGCACGGCGTTATATAACCGCCGTTGATTCCATCATTTTCTCGTCGGATAATCCACTTGTTATATGTAAGGCGATTTAAAAAGCGTAGTGAAAGTGAAAATTAGCAAACACGAAACGATACCAGTTTCCAACAGCATGCGGTCTACGCTGGTAATGCGAGCGGGGTACTTTAGTTTCCTTGCGCATTTCCTCCACTATTTATGGCGTACGAAAATAGCAGAAATCTCGTAGCTCATCGCGCAGCTATAGTCGTGCGTAGTCGTAATTATGTTATTAGTCGGGGAATTGTTTGCCATTTCCATGCCTTGAATGCATGATGAGATAAGTGGGTAGCAAGCGGAAAGGTGTAGTAATGGCGGGGGAGTGGTGGGCAGGTTACGGCACCACGATCCTAACACAATCAGCAGCCTTAACACAACACGCGCGTGCTAATTAAGTGTACTTACTAGTAGTTTTTTATGAACGTGCGCCTTTATCTGTTCGTAGATCACTGATACCGACTACTGCCCGTCTGGCGTTCGTGTAATTATGGGCAGTTTCACTATAACGATCTTCGTATCAAAAGCTTGTTTGCCTAGACGTAGCCGCGGGAGGGCGGTCGGTCTGTAGTTCGAGCACATGTTTAGTGGACAGCTTACGGTGTTCTGGTAAGATGCCGGACCTCTTGAATTATGTAATGTTTCCGTCTATGATCGGGAATATAGAGGAATAATTATACCGAGAGAAAGTATTTGGATAGACCATGGAAAACACAATTTGTTTGTAAAATGATATTTTCTCGATTTCTACAAAGTCAATTATTCGCGCGTACCAGATGTGTGCCTATATATCGGTGAGAAACAGCGATGTGATTTATTCAAATTTACGTTAATCATCTACTTCGATACACCGAGAGGAACGTATTTCTCATCCCTGCAGAAACTGGCCTGTCCGTTAATAGCTCTACCAGTGCTCTACCTTCGCTCCCACTACAGGAGCCGTACCTGTAGCGACAGCGAAGGTGCTATACACCACCTATAGCAAAAGTGGTAAATAAGCGGGCGAAGCGGGTAATAAGGGGGATACGGTTGTAAAGCTATAGTCCATAAATTACTCAGCTCTTTGAATAATTTTCTGCAAATGTTGGGCGCCGCTCTGAGTTCATCTTACGCTTCCTTTATGTTCCTCCATATCTGTGAGCCTACCCCGCTTCCGCGCACTCTTTCTAGAGTTGTCAAAACAGGTTGCATTCCCGCTGTCAACCGACAAAAGGACTTACGACGACGAAAAACCAACGGAATACCGGGAGAGCCAGTTAGATAAATAAGACGGGCTGTGAGAGAGATGAGCATGTAGTGCTGGCGGTGATGTTTGTCTGTCTGTCGGTCAAGAACCCGCGGGCAATATTGCCAAGTCATGCCAATAAAGTTACGGTGAGCGCTTACGGACCAAACGTGGTTTCGCGAAATCGCATATTCAAACTCCTCGTATGCATGCATACTTAGCTTGATAATGCTCAGGGTAAGTACTAAAAAAGTTAAGATCTAAGACAGTTTCAAGCAATAACGATAGTAGAGTATCGCGAGTAAGTCCAGCGCGATCCAAGGCAGTCGTTAGTGGACAAATAACGCTACTCGTGGTCATGGACAGGGTCGCGTGGGATGCGTGACCGCTTGACATTTTTTTTCTAAGAAACACGGGATATGTGTTTGTGGGAAATCCACCGCAGATCATGTCATACACGAGCGACTGTAGTGAGAGCTTGTCTTTGTGGCAGCCGAGCAACTATACTGCTAGATAATACAAGTTTACTGCGGCGGCATCTGCTTGAACATTTTAACTGTCTGAACATTGTGCGAAAAAGGGAGTCCTTGAGAGAGCCGGTGAGCCATGCGTCAGCATTACCTATACCGCAACGATATACTCTAAAAGTTTGAAATTAGTATGAATATGTTCGTGGTCGGGGCCTCGCCCGTCCAGCTAAAGCTACCGGCATACACATAAATAAAGAAATAAAAATTTAACCTCTCTTCCTACCTCCTGGCACCCCACTGAGACTATATTTCTATAGTTGTAAGATACACAATTCTATCCACATGTTCAGCCAGTTGCTAAATGCAGAAGCTAACCGACCGAAGATCGAGTATCCACGATACAAACTCCGTGTTAATACTATACTGACACACTGTCACCGCGGTGAGAACGGGTTCTTATCTATTGTCCCATTTTGATCTCCATCGCATTCACTCGCTAACGCGTACCGACAACAATGAATCTACGTATCCATCACGTGCAAATCTTCGCTCGTCATCTGCCGACTCGGTTATTATAGTAACACATATATTCACTTGACGCATCGCAGCCGTGGCGAAGCGGTTAAAGGCGGCTGTAAAACATGCAAGCACATTCCAGAGGCTGGCTCGGGAGCTGGCTGCGATATCTACCTGGTCTCGCGTCACTTCTCTACGTTCGTATATCACGCGTGCTGTATAACGATGGCGGTGGTTACGCTCCACGCAGCAAGTAAGCAGACTAGTAAGATGTCGAAAACCCGAAAACCCGCTCTGCACGATGACGAAGTCGTAACGCAAGTTGTTTTTTTCCGTGGAAGGACTGCATGCGCAGGCCATGGCATTCCTCGTGGCCGTTGGCCT